ATATCTGATTTCTTATGTTGTCAATGTATTATTAGCATGTGAAATTGTATGGGCTATTTCGCACACTTACACCAGCTCTTTGGTACTGCTGTTCTTCAGAAAATGAGCACGAGAAGACGTTTCTTGTTAGAACGGCTGTCAACTCTTTGCAACTGTGTATGCATTAATTTTGTGAAATGTTCCGTTATGATCAAGTACATTCGAATCAGGTACCATAGATAGCTTTTCTCATTATCACTTGGTGCTTAGTATATCAAATTATGCCATTACGAGGTTTTGGTTAATGAAATTTGACGTATTTACAGCTTTATTCAAACAATTCATAGATTTTTGGCAGCATATCGGTGTAAGAGTTGAAAAGTGAATATGATTGTTTGGATTTAAATGTAAAACACTAATAACAGGATTAAGAAGAAAGACGTTATAGTGGGTCTAGCCTCGTTTCTTCAAGTATTCAGCGTAGTCGATGTAACCATCTCCATTAAGATCCATATCTCCTAGTACTTCATCTACCATTTTAGCCATGTCATCTTCGTTTGCAACAGGAAGGCCAGGACCTGACATAGAAGAATTTGTAGAAATCCTTCCTGATTTTGTATGCGGGTATTAGTATATATTTTTTTGCTTATATCTCTCCGTCTTGTCAGTAGCTAGTAGTAGTACGTAATGTTTACGGGTTGAAAAAAGCTTGTAATATTTGGTTGAGTTAGTCCTTCCAAAAGGGATGCACAAACCTGTGTCATCCTCATGTGAGTGTGTTAAAGCTTTCAATATTTCCGTACCATCGATTCGATTGTCTTTATCCAAATCATTCATTGAGAAGTAATGAAACCTAAATCATTGCTAGGATGAGAAAGGTGGTTCAACTCATTAATATGATTTTATTTGGGCACTCATCTTACGACCATAGCCAAATGCTGTTCCTGGAGTATGGCAAAAAATGTAGTGTTGTATAACAAATTCGCGTGGTTCATTTTTTTTCTTCGTTTCAAAAAAGGCGCTATGGCCAATTTAGGGATGCGCTGAATATCGTTCAAAAGAAGTATCCTCGGTTTACA